GCGGCGTTCGGGAAATTACGGCACATCTTCTCGTCAGGTATACCTCAAAACTTGAAAACGAGACTGTATACCCAGTGCGTGTTGCCAGTGATGACATACGGAACTGAGACGTAGTCCTTCACTGCTGGCCGGATGAGGAAGCTCAAGGTCGCTCAGCGAGCTATGAAGAGGGCTATGCTCGGAGTTTCTCTGCGTGATAAACTCAGAAATGAGGATATCCGCAGTAGAACCAGAGTGACCGACATAGCCCAACGGATTAGTAAGCTGAAGTGGCAATGGGCCGGCCATATAGCTCGAAGAACCGACAACCGATGGGGAAGAAAGGTTCTCGAGTGGCAGCCTCGTACCGGCAGGCGAAGTGTAGGGCGTCCCCCCACTAGATGGAGTGACGACCTGGTAAGATTTGCAGGAAGTCGATGGATGCAGGTGGCTCAGGACCGTGCTTTGTGGCATTCTTTGGGGGAGGCCTATGTTCAGCTGTGGACTTGTGAAAGGCTGTAATGATGATGATGACATCTCGAGATATAAATTAATATCGCTCACCATACAATTCATATGGAACCGTTTACACTGTGCTATATTATATATTACATCTCAAGCTATAAATATTTTTTCGATCGACCGAGCGATATTTTCATTTTATATTTCGCTCCCTGTACCCCGCACACCGTTACGTGCCCCCGCAGACGGTGTACGGGGTAAAGGGGGGGTAATTCAATGACCAATGACGAATGCATACTGGTTAAAAGATATATCTCACAGTGTGAAAGCCAATCGCGGGATATTATTTATATTTCGGGATATAATATATATTATATCCCATAGTGAATAGCCAGCCTTAGCCATTTTTTTAGTAGGGAAGACGGTCGTCTGTGCGGTAAATAGCACTTTTTACTAGGTTTGTGGTAGGGATGGGCAAAGGGAAAAAATATATCGATATATATCGAACCTATATTTTTAAACAGTATCGATATATATCGTGTGATAAATATCGATATATCGATATATCGTCATCATTTGAATGATGTAAAGATAAGGTCCTAAATTTTATTTACTGACGGTTGGACTACGAAAAAACGGTACAACATTTTAAAATATATCGAAATTGATACGAATTCGATATTCTAAAATAAATAACGATATGTCGATATATCGTGATTTAAAATATCGACGATATATATCGATATTTTTATTTAAAAATATCGATATTTCGATATATCGATATTTTTTTTGCCCAAGCCTAGTTTGTGGTATATTGTGTAGTATTATCTATGGTTGGAAAGTTGTAAAGTGTAAACAGTGGTAAACTTGTAAATGTAATCGGAAATTTTGATAAAAATTATAACTATGTTAGGAAATCTAAAGGAGTTTATTTCAGTCGTACAAGACGGTTTGAGTTCTCATAATAATTTACGTCAAACATTACAAGAAGTTCAAAAAGTAACCAATATTTTTAAAGATAAACAAAAAGTATCAAATGAAAACAAAGTCAATTACAGTGCTGGTGGAGAGTTATTGGAAAAATATCAAGAGAACTGGGTGGAACTGCACGCTAACGCAGATCGAAACGCAAGAGTGGCCGATGAAGTCGATAAACTCATAATAGAATTACACGATACAACCAAATTACGCTTGCAAACAGCTAACGAATTGGCCCAAGCATTGTCCCATTTACCTAATGTAACAGCAGGCGTAGCGCAATGTATGGATGGCCTTAAAAATGTGAAAAAATTATTAAATGATGTTGAAGAACAACTAGTGGAATTTGAGGACTTTGTAGAAAGACGTAAAATGGAAAAATGGAAGTTAGATCATCATTATCATCTTAGTCTTTATAAGGAGAAAAAAATGTGTATGTATCATACTGGTAAAATATTTTATTACTATATATCAATAGTTGTTACTAAATTAGACCTAAACATAAAAGCAGGGACTTGAAATTAATTTCGTTTCGTTACACTAAATGTTATCTCATAATGTTTAATTTGTAATGATACTAAATCCTAAAATTATCCATAACGTTATAAAAATAATGTTAAAGAATATAATTTTCGTAGAATAATATTTTTTGTTACATTATAGTTAACAGTAAGATTATGCCTATATCTGCTTATAATATCTTTGCTCGAAAGAAGAAAGAAAGAAAGAAATTGCTACAAAAGAATCATCCGATACGTTACAGATTCTTTTGTACACTGCACTACCGCTCCATTATTTCACCCCGTACAAGCCACCGCCGCCGTATTCAAGTATTACCATTAAGTTTGTTAGAAAGAGAATGCAGTTTATATAAAATATGTATAGTATGTGTCACAATCTTAGACAGATTAATAACAATATTATATTGTTATATCAATAATAATGTTATATCATTATATTAATGATGATATATTTTTAAAATCGTTATTAAATAGTTGTAGATTTCGTTTCGTTTGTTAGTATCCTTATAGCCAAGGAATTAATTTTTACAATTCTAGTGGAACGGTACGAATTATCGTTACTGGAACTACATGTAACGTTTGAGTAATGTTTCAAGCATAGAAGTATTAGGCTTAGAACCACAGTAGGCGCACGCAAAGTGAAGCCATTTCAAGTTAGCCTTTAAAGGCTAAGTACGACTTGGCACGTTAGTACTCGAGTCCACTTGGTCGTGTAAACAGCTCGCACAATTTTTTGTTTTTACCTTTTTATGGTATGTGTTTAGGATAAATAACATAGCGTATGATTGTTTTTTTTTATTCTAATTTATATATATTTAACATTTTTAGTTCGATTCTTTTATGAATTTAAAAAAGATAACATTTCGAGGATAGCGTCATCAAAGCGGCAGTTGTTTAGAAAACAGTTGCAGTTTCAGGGTCATTAAGAGATATATTTTTAAGTACGTATATTTTATTTTATATTATTTAATAAACATTTTTAATTTCATGTTTTATTTGAATAGTTTATCTCCTTCCGAATCTTATTTTGTTTTAATGCAAAACATAATATCCAATAAAGTAATAATAATAATCACTTGAAATTGACCGCACTCTCAAGTCTCGTGATTTCTTCTAATATTATATCCACTTACACTTAGTAAGGGGGACTGGATTGGAAAAATTGTGAATACACCAACTGTAAGATATTTTTTCATTAGTTATTCCTTACTAACTGTGGCTGTGGCCCGCGGCTTCACCCTCATATTAAAGCATACACTGATTTCGATTCTTGTCATTCTAAAAATCTACGTGATATATTTAATTTAAATCGGTTTCAACGTAAAGGTTACAACATACAACTTTCACAGAATGGATATAATATTAGAAGAAATCACGAGACTTGAGAGTGCGGTCAGTTTCAAGTGATTATTATTATTACTTTATTGGATATTATGTTTTGCATTAAAACAAAATAAGATTCGGAAGGAGATAAACTATTCAAATAAAACATGAAATTAAAAATGTTTATTAAATAATATAAAATAAAATATACGTACTTAAAAATATATCTCTTAATGACCCTGAAACTGCAACTGTTTTCTAAACAACTGCCGCTTTGATGACGCTATCCTCGAAATGTTATCTTTTTTAAATTCATAAAAGAATCGAACTAAAAATGTTAAATATATATAAATTAGAATAAAAAAAAAACAATCATACGCTATGTTATTTATCCTAAACACATACCATAAAAAGGTAAAAACAAAAAATTGTGCGAGCTGTTTACACGACCAAGTGGACTCGAGTACTAACGTGCCAAGTCGTACTTAGCCTTTAAAGGCTAACTTGAAATGGCTTCACTTTGCGTGCGCCTACTGTGGTTCTAAGCCTAATACTTCTATGCTTGAAACATTACTCAAACGTTACATGTAGTTCCAGTAACGATAATTCGTACCGTTCCACTAGAATTGTAAAAATTAATTCCTTGGCTATAAGGATACTAACAAACGAAACGAAATCTACAACTATTTAATAACGGTTTTAAAAATATATCATCATTAATATAATGATATAACATTATTATTGATATAACAATATAATATTGTTATTAATCTGTCTAAGATTGTGACACATACTATACATATTTTATATAAACTGCATTCTCTTTCTAACAAACTTAATGGTAATACTTGAATACGGCGGCGGTGGCTTGTACGGGGTGAAATAATGGAGCGGTAGTGCAGTGTACAAAAGAATCTGTAACGTATCGGATGATTCTTTTGTAGCAATTTCTTTCTTTCTTTCTTCTTTCGAGCAAAGATATTATAAGCAGATATAGGCATAATCTTACTGTTAACTATAATGTAACAAAAAATATTATTCTACGAAAATTATATTCTTTAACATTATTTTTATAACGTTATGGATAATTTTAGGATTTAGTATCATTACAAATTAAACATTATGAGATAACATTTAGTGTAACGAAACGAAATTAATTTCAAGTCCCTGCTTTTATGTTTAGGTCTAATTTAGTAACAACTATTGATATATAGTAATAAAATATTTTACCAGTATGATACATACACATTTTTTTCTCCTTATAAAGACTAAGATGATAATGATGATCTAACTTCCATTTTTCCATTTTACGTCTTTCTACAAAGTCCTCAAATTCCACTAGTTGTTCTTCAACATCATTTAATAATTTTTTCACATTTTTAAGGCCATCCATACATTGCGCTACGCCTGCTGTTACATTAGGTAAATGGGACAATGCTTGGGCCAATTCGTTAGCTGTTTGCAAGCGTAATTTGGTTGTATCGTGTAATTCTATTATGAGTTTATCGACTTCATCGGCCACTCTTGCGTTTCGATCTGCGTTAGCGTGCAGTTCCACCCAGTTCTCTTGATATTTTTCCAATAACTCTCCACCAGCATATCGAAATATCGATATTTTTTTTGCCCAAGCCTAGTTTGTGGTATATAGTGTAGTATTATCTATGGTTGGAAAGTTGTAAAGTGTAAACAGTGGTAAACTTGTAAATGTAATCGGAAATTTTGATAAAAATTATAACTATGTTAGGAAATCTAAAGGAGTTTATTTCAGTCGTACAAGACGGTTTGAGTTCTCATAATAATTTACGTCAAACATTACAAGAAGTTCAAAAAGTAACCAATATTTTTAAAGATAAACAAAAAGTATCAAATGAAAACAAAGTCAATTACAGTGCTGGTGGAGAGTTATTGGAAAAATATCAAGAGAACTGGGTGGAACTGCACGCTAACGCAGATCGAAACGCAAGAGTGGCCGATGAAGTCGATAAACTCATAATAGAATTACACGATACAACCAAATTACGCTTGCAAACAGCTAACGAATTGGCCCAAGCATTGTCCCATTTACCTAATGTAACAGCAGGCGTAGCGCAATGTATGGATGGCCTTAAAAATGTGAAAAAATTATTAAATGATGTTGAAGAACAACTAGTGGAATTTGAGGACTTTGTAGAAAGACGTAAAATGGAAAAATGGAAGTTAGATCATCATTATCATCTTAGTCTTTATAAGGAGAAAAAAATGTGTATGTATCATACTGGTAAAATATTTTATTACTATATATCAATAGTTGTTACTAAATTAGACCTAAACATAAAAGCAGGGACTTGAAATTAATTTCGTTTCGTTACACTAAATGTTATCTCATAATGTTTAATTTGTAATGATACTAAATCCTAAAATTATCCATAACGTTATAAAAATAATGTTAAAGAATATAATTTTCGTAGAATAATATTTTTTGTTACATTATAGTTAACAGTAAGATTATGCCTATATCTGCTTATAATATCTTTGCTCGAAAGAAGAAAGAAAGAAAGAAATTGCTACAAAAGAATCATCCGATACGTTACAGATTCTTTTGTACACTGCACTACCGCTCCATTATTTCACCCCGTACAAGCCACCGCCGCCGTATTCAAGTATTACCATTAAGTTTGTTAGAAAGAGAATGCAGTTTATATAAAATATGTATAGTATGTGTCACAATCTTAGACAGATTAATAACAATATTATATTGTTATATCAATAATAATGTTATATCATTATATTAATGATGATATATTTTTAAAACCGTTATTAAATAGTTGTAGATTTCGTTTCGTTTGTTAGTATCCTTATAGCCAAGGAATTAATTTTTACAATTCTAGTGGAACGGTACGAATTATCGTTACTGGAACTACATGTAACGTTTGAGTAATGTTTCAAGCATAGAAGTATTAGGCTTAGAACCACAGTAGGCGCACGCAAAGTGAAGCCATTTCAAGTTAGCCTTTAAAGGCTAAGTACGACTTGGCACGTTAGTACTCGAGTCCACTTGGTCGTGTAAACAGCTCGCACAATTTTTTGTTTTTACCTTTTTATGGTATGTGTTTAGGATAAATAACATAGCGTATGATTGTTTTTTTTTTATTCTAATTTATATATATTTAACATTTTTAGTTCGATTCTTTTATGAATTTAAAAAAGATAACATTTCGAGGATAGCGTCATCAAAGCGGCAGTTGTTTAGAAAACAGTTGCAGTTTCAGGGTCATTAAGAGATATATTTTTAAGTACGTATATTTTATTTTATATTATTTAATAAACATTTTTAATTTCATGTTTTATTTGAATAGTTTATCTCCTTCCGAATCTTATTTTGTTTTAATGCAAAACATAATATCCAATAAAGTAATAATAATAATCACTTGAAACTGACCGCACTCTCAAGTCTCGTGATTTCTTCTAATATTATATCCATTCTGTGAAAGTTGTATGTTGTAACCTTTACGTTGAAACCGATTTAAATTAAATATATCACGTAGATTTTTAGAATGACAAGAATCAAAATCAGTGTATGCTTTAATATGAGGGTGAAGCCGCGGGCCACAGCCACAGTTAGTAAGGAATAACTAATGAAAAAATATCTTACAGTTGGTGTATTCACAGTTTTTCCAATCCAGTCCCACTTACACTTAGTAAGGGGGACTGGATTGGAAAAATTGGAAGAAATAGACGTAGGCATTTGCCTCCTCCATTTCTTCCACTTCTCTATATATCATAGAATTATTATTGGTTTAAAAGGCCATTAATTAAAAATATATTTACAAATAATATAAGATTTTATGGAATATAAATAACACATGTTTATATAAATATAACACTTCTAACAGAATAATATAATTACATAATAGATTTGTGAATATAACACAAGATATTACATATATAAATAATTTAAATATTACATAATTTAACAAAAATAAATAATGTTACATTTTTCTCTTTGCAAATAGTTAATAAATAATTATAAACGCAACCTAAATATTAATTCTATGACGATGCCCCACTTTTTGGGGAAAATGTCATTAAGGCGACACCGCGAAAAAATGCACCTCCTTTCATCGAATAGTATAGGAGTATGACACGACTAACGAAACTGGAATTTTGATATAGGTAAATTCATGTCTTTATCTTGGGTTTGCTTGCTCAAAAACACGATTGTAAAATTTTGACTCGATCATAATAATTTGCAAAAACACCTCTAAAAAATCACTATAGTTGAAATTACAACGAAATTACTTAATCTATATTCTTGGAAACCACTCGAATACATTCATAACATCAATATTCGTAATTTACTTGCTTATTATTTTGATTGCTAAAATCAATAATTTTTTAAAAATATTTTAAGATTCTACGCGATTTCTAAGCGGTTTTAATAGTCGCGGGCGCTACGAAATTTTAGACCTTATGACGGCGTTTTTGTAGTTTTTGTAGAAATTATGTTTTACTCTGGTTAGTCCGGCGTTAGCCCGCTTCTACGGTTTTCGATGTGTCGCCTTAACTTGCAAAAATTACTAATTTGGTTGTGTGCGTGTGGGCAAACGTAATTACAAGATGCTTATGCACACATTCATTGTTGTTGCTTCAACTTTGAACGGAATTTTGAATTTCACTATCCTTAGATTAATGATATGTCTTCGCGCGCTCAGACTAGATACCGCCGGCGCTCTTGTAAAATGCGGCAACAAATACTACGCCGAAATCGGCGTACCCGAGCCAGTTGCGTTGCAGGCGATATGTGATGTGGACGTACCGAATATTTTATCAAATTTTGGTCATAATCTGAAGTAAAATAACAGTTTGCGTAGTGAAACTGTGTAAAAATAATACTACAAGAAATAAGAAAGACACTGGGATCACATACTATCAGTAAGTATCATACTATTTCGAAATTTCAACATAAAATAACACGAGCCATAAATAAGTTACAAAATATGAAAGACGCCATTCAGTGTTGCCGCGTATACAAAAATAAAGTTCCCCGTGGCTGAGATTTTTATATGTGAATTTATTGTTACTATATTTTATAATATAATATATTTAACTTATTATAATATAACCTAATTCTATATTATTTAATGTTTATTTTTGTAGTATTGCTCAAATGACCTAATATTTATATGTTGGTTTATTAATTGTTCTTTTTATTATTAAAACATTATTTCCGTTTTTTAGGGTTCCGTGCCAACGGAAGTGTCAACGGAACTTAAGTTTCCACTATCGTTTCGTCTGTCTGTCAGCAGGCTGTATTTTATGAACCATAATATGTAGATACTTGAAATTTTCATAGAATGTGTATTGGCTATTATTTCTATAACAACATATAATAAAAATAAAATGTTGGTTACACCTTATAATATATAACTATTGTTTTAAATAATTTGTGAATATTAGTCAGACATTTAAATATAAAAATTAAACTGATAAAAATGAGGCCTTATCATTTATATGCCATTTATTCAGAAGAAAAACTTATACATTATATACACAAATATATTGATACATTCGCTATTAATAAATAATTCATTTTTAAGTATTTCTGGTCTACATTCATAACTATGAACTTAACTAATAAGCCATAGCCTAAAATAATTTTCCCGTTAATCGGGTAATAGTTAAGCTGCTGGCTTATACAATTTTTCACGCACACTAGCATCCTTGCAATTGTCTTATACACACTAGAATGTTGAGTTGCCGCAATCACGGAGCTGTTTCTTTCAGGTAGTGCGGTATCTAGTCAGAGCGCGCGATGACCTATCATTAATCTATGGTCACTATCACTATGTGTAATTACTCTAAGGTTTCAAGTCCCTGCATAAAATCAGGGTTCATATTATGTTGGTAGAAAACTTAGTGCTAGTTACCCTATAGCTTAGTAAGTTCGGATTGGTCATAATGCATGGAAAACTAACAGTGGATGTGGAAGAAAGGTTTGTTTGTAAACTGTGTAAAGGTATTTTAAAAATGGACTACTTTAACTCAATTCGTTTTTTTTTTTTTGTTTATCTGTAGTTATTTAGCTTTAGTACTTGGTTTTAATCATGTTTTCAGTTTAAGAGGTTTGTCAGGGTTAAGGTTGACCATTTTACACTGTATTTGGATTTCAGAAATGCATTTTGAATTAATTATTCCCTTAATTCACCAAAATTGCATTTATCGAAATGCAAATATGTCAATTTGGTTTTTTTTTACACGGGTACACCCATAAAAATGTTAATCATTCAGACCGAGACAATCCATTGTGGCAGCCGATGAGACTCATACACAACAAATTGGGTCGCAGTCAAGAGGTTTTTCAGAAAACAAAATTATAACAATTCACAAAATGTTGCAGACATGATAGTAAAATATTTGTGTAGGCCATTTAAAGAAATCATGCAAGCAATAAAGCATGTATATACAATAAATTAAAAAATTACTTCGTTTCATTAACCTCTATAATAGCAGAGTTTAGGGCAACCTGACTTTATAGATAAAATAGGTCGAATCTGTACTAAAATCGAAGGTACGACTTTCCATTTACTCCCATCGAGTTTGGTGTTCATACGTATTTTTACAGAAAGGTTACATTTTTATAAGCACACACACAAAGTTTCAATATGCGGAAACACGTATTTTTTTAGAAATAAATTAATAAAAATCACTTAATTTTAACAATATTTTGTTGTTGTTTTTTTAACTGGCTTTACGGCTCTGGGTTCTAGCCCTTTTGAGCCTACTTTATTACGAATTTCCATTGACATTCGTCGAATTGAGGGGAGAAGGGGGGGTGAGAAGAGGTGTAGGGGGACTAATTCAGAGGGATTTCTGCGGTTCTATATAACCGCTCTAGGGGTAGGACAGACTCGTACCACGTGGAGTCGGGGTCAATAAATTTGGTTCTTTGACATAAGTAGAACCTAACCTATTTTATTTATTATCTGCCCTAATAGGTACTGTTAAAATAAACATCCTTGAAAATCGCCATTAAAACTGATTTTACTGATAAGAGATCATTTATTGTATTATCTTTCTTTTTTCCATAAGAAATCATTTATTATGGTATCTTATAAATGCAAACAGGAAAATATATCTATATTTTAGAAATCCATTTTTTGTGATATCACGACAGCTTACTATTAGAATCGATTTAAAAATCTATCTTTTTCGGAAAGAATCGACATCCGTACAGACGACGACAATGACATTACAAAATGGCGC